ACGCCCCAGTGTATGTACAGTCCGTGTGATGTCAGAAATGCTTACCCTTCTTTCCGACCCAAGGCATACATAAGCGGGGGGTAAATTTCCCCCCCAGATTTGCTATAACCATACACCCGCTATTTCCTCAAGACTCTAGGCCCTGTACCTTTTACCAAATAGTGCACCCGGGTTGTTCCAATGTACCCTTCCCAGTCAGTGATGTCACATTTACATTCTTTCGCGCAAAGTATGTACATAGCAACCTTTCTCCCAAAACATGTAACACGACATGCTTTGCCAACTATGTAAATAGTACATCCGGTGCGATTCGGCTACCTTTCGACCTCCTCCCCCTGGCCTCAAGTTGACCCTCTTGAACTTGTACATGTTCAATCAGCTCGAACAATTTTAAACTTAGAGATGAACGCAGCAGGAAGTGGATTCATTGCAGGCATCGTTGGACAACTTATAACTTATATCCAATGACTGCACATATAATATGTGTATATATACATAATTTGGACACCTGAAATATGTACAATTTCAAGGGGGTCGAACAATCGATCGAATATATAGAATACACTGCAATAAACTGTACAATGTGCATGATCGACACAAAACTTAGAGATGAACGCAGCATGAAGCGGATGAATAAAATAGACGAAGTCTCTATGATCACTCTCTAAGACTCTCTATGTTTGGACCCTCTTACACATTGTTTAGTTATGGTTCTCACTAGTTGCAAGCATTGTTGGACATGTTTTTTGCCCCCCTTGAAATTGTACATGTTCTAAATTGATTTGCAGACATTTTGTACACTAAACGATGCAATTGCAACCGGCGGATGCATATGACAGCATAATAGACTTTCCAATTGCAAGGCAATTACAAGCAGCTGTTGCATATGATGCAACCATAACAAAAATACAGTAAAACATGGGCTGTTGAGAGGAGTCGTTTGTTTGCTTTTCATGGACCTGGTGATGCAAATGATACGATAAGGAAAATCAGACATAGATGATACGTGAAAATCGTGTCTTTTTCCATGTTTTCTCCCACACCCGCGCCTCTCCCAGATGCACGTCATGATGCAGGATAGGCATGTTCGTTCCCGAACGAAAATGAGGCCCCTAGCTACAGCTAATCTAGCAGTGAACGCGACCCAACAGTGTTATGTCATGTTGTGCCCCTCAGCACCTTTGGCAAAGAATGTGGTGCCGGCGGATTTGCGTTTGAGTTTTCGTGCAAACTTTTCAAAGTGTCCATTCAGCCCTCCAAAGTTGTGAGCTTCTGTCCCCAGGTGCTACAGGAAGATCCCCCGACACGGATGGAGTCCTTCGCCTCTTCCGGCAGCTCAAACCGGTCTCGCCGCAGTCCCCGACGTCCACGCCCTCGGAGGGCTGGAGATCCTCGCCACAGCTCGGCGGCGAACGAGCCGCAGCTTGAAGGCGCTGGAGATCCAGCTGAGCCTTATGTGCTGGAAGCCCTTTGATGTCCAAAGCGCAGCAAAGATGATCCCAGTCAATGATGAGCACATAAATACATAAGTCTGCACTTGTCCTTTGGACATTACTCAGTGAGTCAGCACATTCCAAAGAAGTGGATTTCGATGTATGGACATCGAGATGGACATCGGCCGAAGTGGGCCCGTGTCCTCTACCCTCACGGGTTCCAGAGTTTTTGCTGGTTAGATTCTGGAGCACTGGAGGACTTCCGATTTCGACCGGGTGGTCGCTCGTTCTGAGGGGTCAAATCCCTCAAAATAACGCACCACAGGAATTCACAGAAATTTCAATTTTTGTTGGTAGAAAACTTTGCACCAGAACTGGTGCTGCAGTTTTCTTAGCCTTGAATATACATGTTTGCCACAGGCAACATAATCACGCGATTGAATATCATGCCACAATCTCCAGTTCTATCGATTCAATAGTGTCCTACAAGTAGCCCAAAATCCATCCAATTCCCATCCGATTTGGACACTCGTTTTCCTCTCTCGGGACAGGACTCGGGACGGGCAGTTCCTGTGCGAAAGGCCCGTGCCGAGTTCGGGAAGAACGACCAGCGTAAGTGACCTGTGGGACGCCAAACTGGTAGTCCGTAGTCCAGTGTGCCCTGAGGGGCACACAGAGAGGCAACGTGAGAAATGAGAGGCAACGTGTTCTAATGCCACAAGGCGCAGTCAATCGGTGAAGGCTTTGCATGAGATGAGTCTGTTTTATATTGAAGTCTGGTGTGTGTGTGTGTGTGTTTTTAAATATATCTTTTCTTGGTTTGTCTCAGAATGAGAGATCTCTGACACAGACATGGGTTTCTGCCCCCTTTACCTGATGTCTGTTGAGTCTCCATGTTTTTGGACATTGTATCCACAGTCATGAGCTCGCAAATACCAAATCGGGAAAAAAGGGTGTCCTTTTTACTTGAAGGAAGCACTTAGCTCATCCAAATCGACCGTGCATGGAGGAATTTCATGGTGTTTTGGAGCTCCACTGGTGACGTTGCGGTGTTTCAGACCATCCGTGAACCCGATGCGCTTGTGGGAAGCGCCCAGGTTTGGCAAGAGCCCGAGGGCTGTCGATTCCTTGGGGATGCCACCAGCTGTTTGGCGACAGGCGACCCGCCGTTCGTCCGTTTGAGACAGGTGGACCTGCTGCCGGCAGTCTAAGAATCGGCAAAGCAAGCATGGTTCGGTCAAAACCTATCAAAATCAATGCTAGGGCTAAGGAATGCCAGGGCTAAGATTGGGCGGCGGTCTATGTCTATAATAGAATGGCTGTGGGATGCTGTAGGTCAACGAAGGGGCTCCCGGTTTTTGACCCATAATTGTATAGATCCTAGGGATCCAAGTACCTTCTCAGAAGGTGTTTGGGGTGGCTGTGGAGGGTCCAAGTGCCTTCTGAGAAGGTACTTGGATCCCTAGGGAGCCATATAAACACATGTGCGTACGTGTTCATACCACCGACACGACAGGTCGGCGCTTACCGGGTTCATGGGTTGGACTGGACCCTGTCATTGGTTGCGTGACTGCATGGTGCTGGTATGTGATGGTATATGTTGGCATGGGGTTCACTGGTGAGTGTGTGTGGACAAGGCGCAGAATTGGTGATTCTTGGGTCGTCTACCCCTTTGCTCCTACGAAGCCTTCTTGAGAATGATTGCTGAGCGTGACATGTGTTAGACATTATAGCGACTAAGAAGTTCCTGATGGCTGGTCCACTTCAATTCCCAAGATGGCAACGGCCTTGTCACAATGATGCCGTGATTTGCGCTTAGGAGTTGCATCGTATCATCGTTGAATCCATGCCATTTCGGGAAGGTTCCATCCTTGTGAGGATTTTTCGGGCCGGAAACACTTTGCACGTGTTGGCACTTGGCTTTCCTGCGGTACCGAATCTCCATGTTTCCTTTCCTTGTCAGATCTTGTCAGAGTTCAGCAAAAGATGGCTCTCACCGCAGCAACCCTTCGCGAGGGACGTCGGCAACGAGCTCTCACTCCACAAAAAACTCAAGCGCAGAAAAAGTGCAGTATGTGAAACACTTTCCTGGCCTGCAAGGTCACGTTGCATCTCTCCAGGTGCCTCAATGCGGCTATCAGACATCGCTGAGTCGTCATGGCTCAAGAGAGCCATGAAACAGTACCCCGCTTTGGCAGGTGTTCCGCAAGATCTCTCGGACAATAGAATCACGTCCATCCTACTTCAATTTGATGAGGGGACAGAGTTGACACGCAAGAGCATTTCTGAGGAAGCGTGGTTGTCATGTAAGTCGACAGGACCCAAAAAGAAGCTGAAGCCGGGCAATCGCATCTGACATTGTGGATCGCATGCTGCAACACATCCCGTCACATGTGAGAGGACAAATCAGGTGGCTCGGTGCAGAGAGGCTGCGTTTGGGATGTTGTATTAAGAGCTGTTCATTTCGTTCTTTTGATCATCACGCTTGGCTTCAGAGATTCGGTCGTTGCCTCGACTGTCGTCGTTGTTTCAGGGTTGGACTCACATTGAACGTAGTCGTCCAACTCAAGGTCTTGACTTCGCAAAGCGGTGTCAGACGTACCACCTTCAAGCTAACGTCATCCGCTCAGTGGCGCGGCGGGAGAAAGACACGTCCGGGAGACCCGAGCCGAAAACGTCCAAGTCTCTCGCGACTTGGCGCTCGAGCCGGTTCACTCGGCTGGGGTGTTACACCTCTCTCGGTCTCCCTGGCGTCACCCGAGTGGTCACCTCGTCACCCGAGTGGTCACCGGTAGATCGCTTCGCTTCGTCCTTTCCGGTGGACCCTAGACCCTGGGTTCGGGGTTCGCCCACGCTCCCACCGAGAACGCTTCTGTTTGGGATCTCCTCGTTCTCGGTCGCCTGAGATCAACGGGCACTCCCCCTCCGATCAGACATGATCAGACTGTCTCACCCGAGCAAAACAGTGTCCCATAAGTCAATTCTTGTGTCGTGCCATGTCATTGCTTTGTGCTATATGTCCGGGCAGGTTTGATGTCCAACACCGAGTATGTGGCAAGAGGATCCGTGCTTTGCGATGAGTGCGCGGAGACACCCAGTGCTCAAAGGATTCCCTGCGATCCAGGTGCGGCTTGGCTGATGATGCTCAATGGTTGGGCTTTGGGCAAAAATGGGACGTGTATTAGCCCCGACTCAAGAAAAAATAATTGGTTTAGGGAAATAGGCCATGTGGATCCATGTGGCAACTACCAACATATCCTGACGGATCGATTCAACCAAACGATCTGAGTGTGGATGACTTTGTGTCACTTGGAATGTCTCGGTCAAGTTCTTTCATTGCCGTCGGGCGCCACTCAAAGACCCGATCCCTTCAAACCATGTTGTTCAGCAAGAAGTGCAGCCAATGTCTTTTTCGGGGTGAAATGTGATGAAGAAGCAGCAATGGCATCAGCTCTTTTGGGGGTCACAGCAGTCAAACAGGATCGCTAGGATTTGCATCACCTCAGGTGCTACTGACGGGGCAGCTTTTGCACTGAGCAAAATAGGCGATTGCACATGAGTATGATTGCTCAACCCCCCGAGAAATTGAGTGCTGTGTAGTCGGTAGTGCCAAAGAGTTTGGAACTGAGTTGCAGATGCATTGAGGAATCCAGGAATCATGATTAGAGCGCCGGCTTTTCTTTGCATCATCCCCTGTTGGTGCTGAAGGTGGGACCCGAAGCCCTAGATCTCTCTTGGGTGTCACGGACGCATTGGGTGTCTCCTCATGGATGGCATGGTCCCGGAAGGATGACCTTTTTCTGAAGACCAAACAGGTGGTGAACTGCACTTCCATGCTTAGGGACAGGGAGTGTAGATCTGTTCCAGCCAAGGAGCCAACGGACGACACTTGCTCAGTTCCCGACGGTCTGGGGCTCAGAACATGGTGGGTCAGAATTCTGCATCATAGAACAGACTAATTAGTTAATGTTCACTTATGCCAGTGAAGACACACACAACTTGTGACTACCCACCTATAGGCCCTAGGATGGACACCAATTTAGGGTGACCTACCTGACATAGAGGATCTATCAAGATGTGACATGCTGTTTACGGGATAAGTGGTTTGATCCAGGATTGGGTTGCTGGAACAGAACCAGCGTGTAGAAGTCAACGATCTTCAACTTGAGGTTCCAATTAGTTGGGATATGTTGGGATCATTCTGCTGGTCAAGTTTTGCACCTGAGCGAAGCTGGAGATGTGGATTTCCTTCGCCGTCTTCCAGGCCACCCTCTGTCAGAGTCCAAAAGGGGTGATGACATGTGATGACCAGATGATAGGGGGAGAACGATGGAGAACGGTCATGTTACTTTCCATCACCCAGAATTGATCAACTACACAATCATCACGGACATTACATTGTACCCAGGGTGGTTCACCAAGACCACCAGTCGTACTGGACCTGACCCGGTCCCTGTCGGGGTGGTTTCCGTCGGTGTTTGCGCCTGGCGAGGATCCCCGAGCTGCTTTAAGAAGCTGGATGCCTTCAGGCCTCGAAGAGCGACGGTCGGTATTTCAGAGACTTCGGATCGTCCAGTTGTGACCCTGAAACTCGTTTGTTGATGTTTATTATATATATCACTCATTCCCTTGTCCATTCCCCTTCCACTGGCACGGGGTCCCGGGTCACTCGAAGATTCGCTTGGTGGTCACAGTCGAGGGAACAAGGCGATTCTTTTCTACCATTGGTGGGAGAGAAATCATTGTTTTGGAGGTGCCCAGCTTCAGTGGTCAATGGATGTGGTATTGCCATGTATTTCCTGCACTTTAGAGGCATTCCGAGGCATTCCAATATGGAGCTTCACAGACCGGGAAGAAGATGGAGTCACCTGGGCAACAATCGAAGTGTATATAGAGGAGTTCACCTATTGGTAAGGTTCCTCCCATGTTCAAACACACCACACCATCTTCAGCGGGAGACATTGTTCCATGTTGCGCGTTCAACGTTCCCGTGATCGCCAACACTCTCCACTCTCACAGGGGATTCTTTGGATAATGACTTTGCTCAATGGTGGGTGTGTTCAAGGATGTTCAAGGTTTGTGAGGATACGTAGTGTTATGTTTTTAATGTTCAGTGAGGACGGGGTTGCATGGGACTACAGTTCTAGCATCATAATAATAACAATAATCATCATCACCACCGCCATTGCCATCACCATCACCATCACGTGCTTCTCCTGCAACTCTGCAACTGCATCCTTTCGAAGCCATTGGTCATGTCCATTCCAAGTGGTGGTAAGCACCTCATGCTCACTGGCTTTGACAGCGTTGTGTATCGTGTACCAAAGCAGCCTCCAATGGTTTTGCAGATTTGCCGTTCGCTCGCTCGCTCTGTGTGCTATGTCGCACATGAGATCAACCAGGTAGGCAAGGGTTTAAGTGATACCCCTCGAAACATATCACAAAATCAAAGCCATGGCACAGCAATTCCAGATGATTTTCGGGCCGGGCGGTCAGGCTGATGAAAACCGCAGCGAGGAAGAAAGCTCACCCAGATTTAAAATATGTTGTGCTTTCTCTCTTCTACCTCTTTGGGTAATTCTACACCTCACCGCGGGTAGATCCCACCTTCGGGGTGATTTCTCCGCCTCTTCATTTACCCCACTTGCTGCACTTCTGTGGGGCCTCCCTCGTGGTGTTGGAGTGGATTTCACTACCCAGCCGTTTTGAGGGCAAGCAGCAGCCCCTCTGCTCCAAGCAGCTCCTTGCGGACCATGGCGAGGTGGGGGTGCAATTGAGCTCAGATGGGGCCCAGGGCGCTTTGCAAGGCGTTGAGACGTGGGCTTTTCGGACCAAAGTAGGCTTGGCACCTCTGGGCCCTCCAAAAATCCACCTTTCAGAGGCAACTTGTGAAGATCCCTGCGACTTGCGGAGGGAATTTCAGTCAAACTCGGGGTCCACCGGAGTCAGACCTCAGCTTACCAGTGGTAGTACCAATGGTGGTTTGACTGGTATCCCAGAGAATCCGTGGGACCCTAATGTAGGTGACTATATTTAACATTCCATGCATGGATGGCCTGGGTATTGATGTCGTCATCATCACTGCTTAGACGTGCCGGAGAGATGCAGTAATGGACACATTTTGATTATTTTTGATTAAGTTGTGTGCCTTGCCGCACCATGAACCAACAGCGTGAGTCTTTCGAATATAAGCTGCTTGCAGCCTTGTAAGATCTCTTTTGCCGGCTTCGGGTGCTGTTCGTTGCCTTTGAGTGGCTGGGTGGGAACACCATGGAACAACGAAACATAACAGGTGTTGCATAATTTTACTATTACAGTATTACCCGCGTCACGGTGTTTGTCGGTTTGGATCTGGGTTGAACACGTTAACCTTATTGTTGCTCACATCCGGTACGATCCGGGCACCACGGCCCAACCACTCACCAAACTCCGCAGGCGCAGCGCAGTGCCCACTTCGGCGGGCGTCGCTGGGTGTGGGGAATCGGGGGGACCGGTGATTTGTCCGTCAGACGATCTGCAAGAGAGGCCCGGTGAAGCAAAGGACATTCCTATAGACTCAGAGACTCAGGTCACCGATATATAGCTTGTTTAAACACATAATCGTCTTGGACCCTGACGAGCATAGTCCAAACACTTGGCTGTGGCAGCGGTTGATATAGTTCTTTTTGTTCCTTCACTGAGATTCCAAAGAAACAATCTGTCGACTTCAGGGAACAAGCATCCAGGAAACGCCTTCGAACCTGTTGCTGTTTTGGTGTACACTGCTAGGATGTGAACCGCTTGTTGCAAGACAAGAGCTGCGCCAGAGAAGATATATGTGTGTTTTTGTTCATGCTCTTTCGTGTTTTCGACACACATCAAAACATGGTAGAACAAGTGAATACACTCGCAGATCATATCTTGGACATCCTGAAGCGAAGCAACTCGGTGTCCGACATGTGCGAACGTTCAGAACTCCAGCGATCCATTCGCTTTCCACCGGTGTGATTGGAAGGACTGGGCCAGCTGACCGGAGTCGGATCGGACCAGGTCTCGGTGCCCACGGAGTCGGGTCAACGCGTCACCTTCAACTGGATCCCAGGTGTGGTGACCAGCTGGGTGTGGACAGGGGATGAGGGGAGAAGACGAGGTCTCCTCTTGGGGTGTGGAGCCTTAAAGGTGGTACATCATCATCAGGACTCTTGGCTCAGTTCACAAGCGGTGGTTTTGTCTTGTGACTGGGCAAAACAGTCTTGGGGATTTGAGCCATTCGAGTTCTGAGAGGGGGTATACAGCTCCTAACCAGAGGAAGGACCATCAAGGATCCAGAACCTGCAGGTGCTTGCGGAATGGAAGGCATCCCCTTTTTGTTGAGCTACTGCAACATATGTAATGCTTGTAGTTCTAGAGGAAGATGTAATTTGGGGAAGGTCCTCGCATGGAGAAAAGAACTACTCCCCCCAAAAAACATATATGAGTCATGAGCCATGTCACAACTCTTGCCAAATTATTACTCTATGATTTGGTACTGGCTTAATTAATATGAAGGAGAAACAGAGGAACAAGCCACACCGCTGTGACATGCTGTCACAATCACTCATGTTGGGACTGGGGAAGATTTGCCGAGGGCTGCAGCGAGAAGGGTATTATCCACATACCGTACCAGTAGTATTCAAGGCGGCCAGAGTTTGCGGTCGTTGTTCCTTGAGTGCGGGCGATAGATTGTTTGGATCAAGGTCGTTGTTATTCTTTCTCAAAAGCTTCTACCTTTTGAGAAAGTAGTTGAACCCTATCCAAATCCAACGCAGCTGCCCTATCCAAACACTTTCTGCAAAGAAGTGTTACTGTAGCAGATATGCAGATCTTTTGGGGGGGGAGACAGAGACTCACGCCATGTCTCAGGCCAAGGCTCTGCGGGCGACGCGTCCGTGTCCTCGGACTGCGACTTCCAGTCGTGGCAGCTGGAGATCCACGTGCAAAGCCAAAGCGACGCTTGGGTGAAAAGTGTGATCGATCGAAAGTGTCGTTGATCGATCGAAAGCGTGTTTGCCAGGAATTGGTGGAGACCGAAAGCCAGGGGGGAATCAACATCTCATTTGATTCTCTTTTTAAGTGTGGCTTGTTAGCGGCTTCCCGGCACCGTTGCTTCGGCGCCGGTCCAATTATCAACTATACCTCAAAGAACAGATCCCCGAAGTCCAGTTACCTCGAGGAATCCGACGCTGCACGGGATTGTCGGGATCACACACATATGGGAGTTGACACTTGAAGCAGATGTGTGGAAGCGGTTTGGAAGAAAGAACGCCCCCGCCAAATCTGCACCATGAAGATTCCAATATCACGCGTGTTGACAGCTGCATTTGCTTCCCTGGAGCACAACTGCAAGCGCCCCTGGATGAGAAGCGTTCTGTATGAATCATCGTCCAAAGGTCGTTGGACCCTCCAAACCACGTCAGAAAGCACCGAAGCTTCTGCTGTCTTTGCTTCCTTGGACCCGGCACTTGGTGCCAAGGACTGGGGAGTCCCTGAAGGCTGTGCTGATTTGACCGAGAGCAGTTCGACCAGTTGCATCGATGCTCGGCGTGCTCGGCGTGCTCGGCGTTGGCATGTTCGCAGAGGATGGATGGCCCGGGGTGGATGTGGATGTGCATTTTTCATAGGGCGCCCAACCAATGGATGTTGGTCTATGTTCCTTCTTTTTTGAGGGTCTTTGGAAGGTCTCCCTATTGCAATACAGGGCTTGGACCTGCTACAGTATGTGCATCATCACCCATGTAGGGCCATTTCGTTTGTTTCGATTGACATGCTGTGATTCCTCATGATCAACCCTGCATTCAAAAAATAAGCGCTCTTTGTCAGTCGGAAACTTTCTGTGTGGTCTAACCCGAAAATGAGACCCTGCAGGGGAACACACATAGTGTAACATGGTTTGGATGTGTCCCCGCTGCACAACAGCGGATGGTATGGGGGCCCTTGCTACTGCAACTTGTAGATGACCTGGGGACATCAAAGCCAACGTTCGGCTTTTCGGCTTTCCCTGCAAGATGGGCCACCAAAGCTTGGACAAATCCTCAATCACCCCGTTAACCTCAATTTTTTGGGGGGCACGACAAATCGACGAACAGCTATTCGATCGGTATAGGCAACAAGAGCCACGCCTAAGACATCCTAAGACTGTACCTGAGAATCGTTTTATGGATATCCATGCTACATCCCGCACGTTTGGACATCGAAGCTGTCCACTTCCGCATTTATGTTTAATCCAGTTGCTCACGCCTGGTAGAGTAGGGTCGGGCAAAACAACGCCCCGAGAGCAAAGATTGTGGTGAACAGACCGTGTTCTGTTCGGATGATCAGCCGACGGTGTCATCCATGTCCTTGAGGCCATGAATTTGCAGTGTGACACCCCTTACAACGCCCGTCTTCGAGCTGCCTCTTGGAGCGGTGCGTTTTTTTTTGCTCCAAACGCGGTGGAGTCCTTGGTCCGATAGGATGTTACGATGTTCATTTTGTGTTCAGTGTGGTCATCCTCAAGTACTGTAGATAGATGGAATCTATAGGTGGAATGAAGAACCAATTGACCTACTGTACCAGGCTTTGTGGGTCATCACATGTCATCACTGCTTTGGGCCACAACTATCTTATCACCAAAGCTAGCACCAGCTAGCTGGAGTTGTTCTTGCTTTAACAAGTGAGGGGCTGGAATCCTTGAGAGCGCCGCATGACATGGAAACTTCATATGTAGGGGGGCCCCCAGACGTGTGATATATTTCCGCTGGCATGGGGCCGACTGTCACCGCTTCACCCCCGCCCTGCTAGCTTTCGTCACCAACCCTCGGCCTCAAGTCTACTTCAGGGCCCCAGCACCACTCCTATCTCCAAATGAAATGCGCATATATAAATGCGCCATGTGCCATCCACTGCAAAGACCAATACAAACAACAGTATTCTTTGTTGTCAATGGGTCAATGTAGGCATACCATACCAGTCCCATGGAGTGTTTGGGGGATCAGTTGGGTTCCTTGGGAAGGTGCCCTGTTTCATGTGTTTTGCACGCCTTACAGACTTTGGGGCAAATCGGGAGATTTACAGGAGGTCTTCATGACGAGTATATATACAGTAGAAATCAGTAGAACAAATTGCAATGCCTTCACCTGGTTGCCACGCAGAGCCTTCCACCCAGGTGTGTTTGCCAGCGGCAGCCAGCAGCGATTGGATGGCCTTCCCTTCTTTTCGCACATCCTACGCAGGTGAGACAACTTATATAAACAACCAAAACTAGACGACGAGTGGCAAGGAAGCATTTTTCATCACGGAGGAAGTTAGAGTGTGAGTTATCTGTTAAGTGTTCAGTGTGAAGTGTTAAGTCGAGTGAGTTGAGGCAGTGCGTGGGTCTGTGTGTGTGTGTGTGATGTGTGTGTATGAGTCCCTGTCTGTGTGTGTGTGTCTATGTCTGCTGGTGGTGAATCCATTCCTTGAGAAGCAGCGTGCACACCTCAGGAAATCTCACTGAAAAAAGCGAGTTCTCAGCTTCCAGCTCCACAGATTGCTCCGCGTACTAAAGTTGTCCTACAAAGTCGCCAGTTCTCAGCTTCCAGCTCCACAGATTGCTAGGCGTACTAAAGTTGCACTACCAAGTCGCCAGTTCTCATCTTCCAGCTCCCCAGACACTCCGCGTACGAAAGTTGCACTACCAAGTCGCCAGTTCTCATCTTCCAGCTCCCCAGACACTCCACGCACGAAAGTTGCACTACCAAGTCGCCAGTTCTCATCTTCCAGCTCCCCAGATACTCCCCGTACTGAAGCTGTACTACAAAGTCGCCAGTTCTCATCTTCCTCATCTTCCAGCTCCCCCGATACTCTGCGTACTAAAGTTGTACTACAAAGTCGCCAGTTCTCAGCTTCCAGCTCCACAGATTGCTCCGCGTACTAAAGTTGTACTCGCGAGTCGCCAGTTCTCAGCTTCCAGCTCCACAGATTGCTCCGCGTACTAAAGTTGTACTAGCAAGTCGCCAGTTCTCATCTTCCAGCTCCCCAAATCGGACTCTCGCCTGCATTTCGCCCACTCGACACGCACGATCTCCGCAGAGGGCTGCGTTTTCGGTTGACGCTGTTCGTCCCACCCTCCGCCTTTAAGAGAGAATTTATTATAAAGTGGGGAAATGTTTTTCATTAGGACATCTCCCTTGAAAGTTTTCCATACTCACACTTGCATACTTTTGCACTTGGATACTTACACTTGCATACTTGCCCTGGCATGCTTTCACTCTACACTTACACTGGGATACGTATAGAAGTGTAAGTGTTCAAGTGTAAGTGTGGAAGTTCAAGTGTAAGTGTGGAAGCGTAAGTGTTCAAGTGTAAGTGTAGAAATGTCAGTGTTCAAGTGCAAGTGTGGAAGTGTCAGTGTGTAAGTGTAAGTGTAGAAGTGTCAGTGTTCAAGAGATTTTCTGGAAGAACCCTTCGCAATGCTTTCGGGAAAAGTGGTATGGATCCTGGTATTAATCCGACTATAAGTATGAATCCAAATAAGTTGTTGTAACTTATAACAAAGAAACGGCCGGCCCAGCGCCGCCCTCGCCCTAGTGAAACCTTGATGAAAAAGACACATCTCCCAGACCCGTGATGCGAGTAGCCGAAAGGCAAGATGTGAATCCTGGCCCAGCGGATGCCAGAGATTTCATCGAACCTCCTGAGTGAGCGCGCTAGATTAGCGCGAAAATGCAATTGGATGTCCAAGAGTCGCCTCAAAAACAGCTGTTGGAACCAAGGTCTACTATCCATTTTCTACAGGGCGTAGGGTTTCATATTCTTGGCACCCATTGTGGAAGACCACAGCTGGTTTGTCCGCTCTGAAATGGCGCTGCTTGACCGTGCAGCAGTGCTCGCAGGAAGCTGCCTGGTCCCAGCGACGGCGCCGCAACTGCTGAGGGCTGCCAGGAGCACGCCGAGCATGTTGGAGATTTGCTTCACCGCCGGGTGGGAGCCTAAGAAAAGAGGAAGGTCATGGAAGTTCCGAGTCAGATGGAACACGAAGGGATGCAGGTGCCTTTTTTACCTATATATATTGGATAGAGGTTGATCAAAGTTGGTTGTTGCTTGCATGGTTTTGAGTTTCTAGGATTCTATAGGCCTTGAGACCAAAAGGTTGCTAGCTATCGAGCCACACGAGCCACACGCTCTGCCACCGCGCCTCCTTTGCTTAGTCGAATCCATCGTTCCAAGGGCGGCGGGTGACTGCGTCTTCAGTGGCTTCGAACTGCAGATGCAGATGGAGGGCAGCAGTTGGATGGACTTGCCACATGGTGAGAAATCGAGGCTTGCAGAAGGGACTCTATGGGCCGAAACTAAAGGTGTAAATATGAACTGGCAAGCATGTTTAGCTCCAACAAAGGATCCATATAAATATAGTTGTGTGTTTGTTTTTTTTCCCACATGAAGTTGATCATTTGGAAGCCGGACACCAGAGATGTTCGGCATGTTCTTGCCACAGTCCAGACCATGTTGCTCCCCAGATTCATGGGTCCACACAGCCACCATTGGAGACAGCCGCGTTTGACTGACCTTGGTGTATGGCTAGTGCTTGGAGGCTCATCGTATAGAGGTCCAGCAAAAGGCGTTTGACACACATCCAAACCACCAGAACGGCCTACCACGTCTCGGCTTGCCAAGACTTCCCCTACTTGGGATGAACAATGCCCAAAGCAATCCGAATCGTACAGGATGGACAGTTCACCCCACACCTGGAAAGTGTTCACAATCCAACGCCAACCCCTTTGAAACCAATGCAACACGCAGCACGCAAAAACCAATTGTATATTCCTTTATAATCCTTTATGAGTTGTTTGAACAGAAACATGTTTTTTGGATAACTCTCAGACCAATCCACTTCTTCATCCCACTTCCGCCTCCGTCATCCCGAGGCCAGTGACCTGTGGCAGCCTGGCGGTGCGCGAGGGACCCTGCTGCTCGGTGATGAACCTCCTGGAGGCGCGGCCGACCACCCCGGGAGATCTGAGATCTGTGAAACGAAGTGCGAAGTGGATCTGGAAGAACTTGGTGAAAAGGATGTCCGGATTCCTCCCAACTTTTGAAGGGTTTGGACAGAAGAATCCGAAGGTGTCGGGAGGGCGCACGGTGTGGTGAAAGGGCGCACGGTGTGGCTGCCGCAAAAGCATGCAGCCATGGATTCGAGACCGAGAAACGGATCGAGACCTGGATGGTTGATGGATGTTTGGATGTTTTTTGTATTTTGTGTTGAGGTGTATTTTTTGGGGAGATAAGGCTTTGTTGAATTGATTGCTTTGCAATTTCAGGTGTTGGATACATCTCTCGATGTGCTCAATATGTTGTTGTTGCTGTTGTTGTTGCTGCTGCTGTTGTTGTTGTAATTCCTTTTTGATATTTGTTTTGTTTGGGCGAGCTGATTATATATGACGGTTATTCTTGGGAGCTACCACGACTTCTAGCGGATTCTAGCATTTGCACTAAGGTTGCATGAATGGCCACGTTACCGCTGTTGCCGACTGTAGTTGTTGCCGCTTTGGTAGCCTCGCTAGGACGAGATGCCCAGAGGCCTGGGTATGTCTTGGGTTTGTTTGAACTCAACTCCTTTGTAAATGGCTATGAATGAATGCTTGGTGCTCACCTCCCAAGCAGTGCCTGGTCGGTGGTCTAATTATTCTGGTCCTGTCCCAGCCTGTCCCACTACGTTTGGACGGTCGATCACCCCCCAAACTCCTTGCGGTTCAGGACCTGGAACCCCTTGGTTCAGGGACTCCTTGCCTAGCTCGAAACACAGATCCTTTGGTTCAGGAACCAGGTCCCTGGTCGATCCCTTGTTTCGAGCTAGGCATCCAATTGTTCAGGTGGATTCCTTTTTCCACTGACACAGGATTCCGATCCTCAGGGCACCGGGTACTTCTTCCGCGCGCGGGAGACCTGCAGCAACGGCGCTCCTTTAGCCTCGCCCTTCGTGACGTCCGAGGTGGGCAGATCGGGACGTAGGTTTGGACGGGTTGGAGAAGCTTAGATGGGTTTGCAGCAAGCTGATGGCTCTAAAATTTTGGGAAGCTCTCCAACCAATGAAGGCAATAGTAGCTCTAGAATTTTGTAAAGCTCTCCTACCAATTAATAGTGGGTAGCAGGCAGAGTTGGCAGATTGTGCGTGATTCTACCAGGGTGAGGGATGAACAAAATGAAGACCGGCGCTACTCACACCAGACCGACCCTTTTGAGCGCTACATCCAGCCCAATACGATCTTAATCGTTGTGCCTCAAATTGCTCTATGTGAACTGTTCCAGGGTACTGACGAATATGAACGTTCGATATCTTCTTGGAGGATCAAATCTTGAAATTGCTACATCCATCCCTTGAAATAGATCCCGGGACTCAGACAGTCAATAGTAGGTTTGCCATGCTTTGACCAGCTTCTTGCTGGTTTTCGAGTTCTTTCAACCCATTTCAACCCCATGTCACCTGCAGAGTGCAGTTCTGCACTGTCTCAGATGCAACTCCGAACTCTCGCCAAGCGCCACCGCTTCGGGGAGGGGAGCTTAGCGAACTGCCACTGGACCATAAATTGGTAAATGAGATCCCATATAGCTGGAGTCCCATGACCTTTGGCCGATTTTTGCCGTGGGACTGCCAAGCTCTGAGCCTCTAAGCTAAAAACACCGGAAGATGAGGGACCCGAGACTGTGAGAAGGCAACTGATGGTTCAACGATCCCACATCAGCTTGAAACTTTGTGAATGGTGTCCCACGATACACTAAAGCACATATTGGAAGTCGTCCAGTTGTCCATCCAACTTGTACTCTACATATAAGCAAACAAGCAATCTCCTAAGTGGGCCTGCCTTAAGGACTCACGAAATCTCACGAAGATTCCGGGAATGGGGCAGCGGTCACTTACCTTTCTCGTTCCCATGCGCTGACGGCAGGTGGCCCTCTACACCACATCAGTGCCGGAGGCGGAGCCTTTGGGGTCACCAAAGGGTGGCGGTGGATACAACCTTCACAAAGGTCACGGCGTGTTGGTCTCTCTGATTTTGTTTCTTCCAGCGTTGCCTGTGATATCCTGTGATGATGAGTCCCAATGTTCCAATAAGTAGTTTCAAAAGTCTATCTTTGTTCAGCCTGGTTGAAGCGGTTGAAGCAATCAAGTGGTAAAGTAATGTTGGACCGTCACCTCGTCCTTTAAGCAGCCCTTGATTTTGCCCTTGTTGGGCTAGAACAAGACCTGGGAGGGCCTTCGAGGCCACAGCCACCCTCAACACACCTCGTCAACAGAAGATGCATGGTCAACCCTGACAGTCAGCTCGTGCTTTGGTTGTTTTCTCAGCATGGAGTGTGATTCGATGTGAATCAGATTATGTCAAGAGAGGTGTTTCTAGGTCTAGGCCATGCCCCATGCCACTTTGGAACTGATTACCCGCGAGATTTCACAGGTCCTTTCTCACATGACCCAAAGCAACTCACTTGTACTGACCCACGAAACCGGTCCTAGAAGTCATTCCCAACTTCAATCAGCTACACTGAAAAGCATGACTCTCAAAACGTATCAAAACGTTCTGAGTTTGTTCATAGACCTCTCAAACCCATTCTGCCAGAGAGACCGATTTCTGGAGCATCTCAGCACCTCAGAAAGCCCATGCCCGTGTGGCGCGGTCGTCCCGGCCGCCGCAGGTGCCTCCACCGAGCTACCGGGACCCACTGGGGGTGATCACTACCCTGGAAGCGCCCAACAGGCGAGGACGGGTCCGCGGGTCTGTGAGGTGCGGATTGAGCAAAAAGAGGTGACCATCTGAAGACGGATGATGGTGTGTGTGTGTGTGTGTGCGTTGTCTTTCTAGCTTAGGACAAAACACAACTCATAAAAAGAAACTCATAACATCTCATAACAACTTCCCTCAATCAACCGCAAAAAAAAACTCCATTCAGCCTTCACTCCCTGCTCTCGGATGCTCTCGCATGCTCTCACGTGCCCCGGCCCCCGTCGAACGCAGCGCCGGACGTGGTGCGCCCAGGCTGATGCTCTTCTTCGAGGCAGACCTTCAGCTGGGCGCCAGCGATGTCCCGTCGCACGGCACACGATGTCCTGGGGCCGAGGTCGAGCGGATTTGGGCGGTTGTGGGCGGTTCGGAGGGTTCGGTGCGCGGATTTGGGCGGTTGAGAGATGTAAGAGGACTGTCGCATGAAGGTTTCAGGTGTTGTGCACCTATGATTGGAGTGGAGTTTGTTGGCTTGCTTCGCTGTGGTTCGCAACAAGAGACTCATGGCCCAGGCTGTTTTTTGGAATCGTGATGCTTTTGTCTTGGAACTGCCGTGAGAGAGTTCACTTGCACCAGACAGTGTAGAGTGAGTATACAGAACACTTCTTGAAGCTGATAAAACTTACCATACAAAAGAGAATATCCTAAAATCATCACCGCTTGCAGCTGTGCTGCTTTGCTTCCTGAGGATTCGGGTTTGCCCTGCCCTAGTTGGCACTGCCGAAGCACCTGGACCTTGCCAGTGCGTGCCTGTGCCATCACATAGAAAGGACAGTTGGTAGCTGTATGATGTTGGATCCAGATTCTTTTGCTTCAGATTGGCGTACAGGAGAGCAAAATCGAAGCACCCAGTGTCTTGTTTTTTTGGGTGTCGGTGATTCCAGGTGTTTGCAGGTCCGGATCGATACCTGTCAACCCGGTCACAGTGGATTTGTAACATCCAGCACGCAACGAGGTGTATTGTGACTGTGTATCACATTGTATCACAACCTTTGACAAAATGCTGACATCCAACTGGATGATCATGTCATAATATTTCATATAATAATATCCTCAATACTAGTCATATCTCCACCCCAAAACGAAGCTCCTTTCAGGATCTTCCTCCTGGACCCGAGATGAAGCTAAATGACTTCAGGAGATTTCTCGACTCTTCGGGAGATTTCATGACAAATCACTGAAAGACCATATAACTGTTTTCCTACTTCGCTCGCTCGCTCGCTCCGATCAGGTGAGTGAGGCGGACTGCGCCTCTCGCTGCGCTGAGCGACAAGACCTCTCGGCAGCTCTGCTGAGCGACGGGTCTTCAGACGTCGCAATTCTCCCAAGAAGGTGAATTCTGTGTGGAACATAGGTGCTTGAAAATGTTTTTTGTACGAGGTGCGTGTGCGTGTGTCTGTGTGCGTGTGCGTGTGTGCGTGTGCGTGCGCGCGCGTGTTGTTGTTGTTGTTGTTGTTGTTGTTGTTGTTGTTGTTGTTGTTG